CATGTGATTTAACTTTGAGTGTAGAAATGGATTATTATTTACATAACTTCATGCTTGCAATATTATTCTATAATATTTATTAAGAAAACATTGGTAAATGCCCACTACCTGCTAAGCAATGTATGGGGTCCTGGGGACATAGTGCTTAGTGTGACAGAGTGACAGCCCTGATCTCTTTGCAGTCCATTGGGGCAAAAGGATTTGTGCCCAGTTGATTACGAGGCAGTGAGGAAAAGGAATGATGTCAGAAGGTGGTTGTTTCAGCAGGATCATTCTGGTGGAAGGGAGGTAGACAAGTTGGGGTGATAAAGAGAAGATGGGAAGAACTTTGAGAGGCAAGCCAAACTAAGGAGGCTGGAAGTGGTGAAAAGAATGGAGTTGGAGAGGAGGAGAGGACATAGTTGAGAAATATTTGGGAGGTGGAATTAGCAAGCCTTGGTGACCAAATGGAGTTCAGTAGATGGTAAAAAATAGGGGATTTTCTTGAATAACTTTCCAGTCTCTGGGTTAGGGAATCATGTCAATGACCAGACCCTTCTCTGAGAAAGGGAATACAGGTGCAGAGCCAGTTTCTGATGAAGGCAACTCTTATAGTCTGTCTGGATAGTTTCACAGGAGAAAAGCATAATTATTTTTTCAAGAATCTGATTTAGAAGTAAAAATACTGCATTTAGTTTTTATGGATTTGATCTGATCCTGGTAAGGGAAGCATTACTTAGTATTACAGAGGCAGATGGGGGATGTGTTTATTTACTATTGAGTAAAGAATATTTCATTGTTGTCAATAGATTTTAAAAGTAGGATAAGGTTAAGTGGAGAGTCACTACTTTGATAGCAAGAAAAGCACACCATAACTATGACATGTTGATTCACATACGGGTTATGGGTAGAAACATACTCGTTTTGGATCTTCCGTTTCTGTGAAAAGACTTTATCCTCCTCGCTTAAGACAATCTTATATTGCTTGATAAGAGTATGCATTTTCTGTTGTAGCTCTTTGTTTTCTTGTTGAATTTTGTGTAGTTTTTCACCCACCTAGAGAAAACCAAAAGAATTTAATGAGAGGACTTGCTTCACCATTCTTTTGAGAGCAGTTAGTCAGCATCAGGTGGGCAACTCTCTGCAGCGGTCCCCAACCTTTTTGGCACCAGGGACCGGTTTCACAGAAGACAATTTTTCCACAGACAGGTTGGGAGTGGGGAGGTGGGTGGCAAGCGCAGGCGGTGATGCCAGTGATGGGGAGTGGCTATAAATACAGATGAAGCTTCGCTTGCTGCCACTTACTTCCTGCTGTGCACCTGGCCTTCCTAACTTTTCATGGAAGACAATTTTTCCACAGATGAGGGTGGGCGTGCGGGTTGCAGCAGCAGAGCTCTGTGGCCTGGTCCCTAAGAGGCCACTGACTGGTACCGGTCTGCAGCCAGGAGGTTGGGGACCACAGCTCTAGAGCACTGGGTACATTGCTTAGCACACAACGAATATGCCAAAAATGTTGAATGATTTAATTCTACAGCAAATATGCAATTGCACATTTTGGGGCCTCTTCTATAAGTTATGAAAAATGTGTAAAAAGGTAGTAAACATGGATATAAAACCACAGAGTAATAATCCACATCAAAATAAGAAATGGAATTAATAAACTGTGATCCTTCAGCAATATCTCTATGTCCTTGTCCCAGAATATAAACTATACTAGGGAAAAGAAAATGTAATATCCACAGAAGCTGTTGCTCAAAACCTCTTTGACTAGATATTATACTTGCTTCTTGTTAAATATTTCTATTTGAGGAAAAAAGATAGTACCCATTCTGCATGAGGTAAGAATTTTGTGCTTATTACATTGCTTCAAATGAAGTAAGCCAGGTTTAGTAGGAATGGTGGGCTGAGTAGTTCAAAATGATCTTCTGGCTGAGGACCACTAAAATAGCTGGATGAAAAAAAATCTTTTTAGAAGTGTTGCAGAACTAACACAATAGTCAGGGATTACTAGGCCTAATTCTAACAGAAAGCAAGAATCCAGGCTAGCACTTAAAACTCCTCTTGCCCAGAGGACATTTACTAATATGGACGAAACCACTTGGAAAATGAGTTTTGGTTTTGTTGCATAGCAAAGGGGACAAAAGCCAACATGCAGAGCTCATCTAGGTATGGAGCCCAGATAAACCTCTCACCACTGTCGTCTAAGACCCAAGAAGCTTCACCCTCTGGATAAGGTAAGTTGAAAGCTAATAAGTGATGGTCCAGTCTAACTTTGATCACCAGAGACCCTTAAGGTGGATTAAGGTGGTTTGGGACTTGGAACATCCCACACATCTGACAGAAGTGAATACAAATCTGGTCCTGGGGAAGATACCACCATCTTAGGTCTCAAATTGTTTTTACAAACATTTTTTCAAGTACAATGTCTAGCTTACAGTTTTCTACCAGGAATAGAAGGAA